ATTTCCTCCTTCACGTAATTCAGATTTGTTTGATTTTTTTTTTTTTTTTTCCTTCCTGCTGCTCTATAGCAGAAAAAAGGAACTTTACACTTGGGAAATCTGTATTTCCACCAGAAATGGTGCAAGGGTGGCATCAGCAGGGGCCCAGTGGGGGTTCTTGCTGCCGTGCCTCTGGATTGGGGGCATTTTTGTCCTCCTGGGAGGGGAGGTGACTGCAGTGAGAACCTCCAGTAACCTGTCCCCCTCCAGTAACCTGTCCCCCGGCCTCCCAATTATGTGCTGGAAGGAGGAAGGGGGGGGCACGTTGTGCTTGAAGTGCTGCATCCTCTCAAAATTCGGTTTTGACTTGCTTTGCCGGCGGTAAAGCAACGTACGGATGGCATTCCTTCTCCAGAGAGCAGCCAGGGGTTTGGAAAAACCTCGGAAAATCCCATTCGGGTGGATGAGGTGCAGCTTCCAGTGGCTTTTGGTGATGAAGGCTGCATGATGAAGGTGGCATGTGGAGGTGCTGGCCCCTCACTGCATGTAGGGTGGGAGAGGGGCTGGGCAGGGGACAGCGGGCGCATTGTGCTCCATGCAACCTGCTTGGGCTTCCCAGGACAGCAAAAGGAAGCAAAATATAGCTTTTTATTCCTCTGTGGTATAGCTTAAGCTGCTTATTTTTGATAGTCGGAGCGATCAGCCATTGTGACCTGAATGTAGTACATCAAAGAGCCCTAAAGAATTATTTTTTTTTTTTCTGTGGTTGTTGGATCAAATAGCCTAAAATTAGCCAAGACGCTGGTTGAAAGGGTGTGTTCTGGGGTAAGTAGAAAGTAAAAACTTCTTGGCTTCATTCCCCCATAGGAATGTAAACAGTTTTTACTTGAAACTCCATATTCTACACGATCTTTAGTTCAAAGCCGTGAGGTGCCTGGGTCATAACGTGTCCTTTTTCATTCTTCCTTTTTCACTTCTCAGCTTAATACAAAAAGTTTCCATAAATGATTTTCTGCTCCGGCTCTGCAGAAGCTCCATCCATATCCCCACATTCTTTCTAATACTTACATTTTACCTTTTTTTTTTTTTCTTGACTTTCCCCGTTCCTGCTATTACTGTAAGTAATTTAAAGAACAAAATGTTTTCAGCTGAAACGGTTTACCTTGTTACAAGTTAATTTCTGGAGCTTTGGTGGTGGTTTTTTTTTCCCTACTACCCACACCTTTCTCTCCCTTGCTTAAAATTCCTGGAAAGGAGAAAAGTAGCACCGTAGCACCCACTACACCCAAGAGCCAGCGTCATCCTATCACGGGGGCAGTTGAGTAGCCACGCTCCTCTGGGCCTTTAGATGCTCATTAATTAGATGTTATTATAGATTTCCTCCAATCTAATGGCAATAACCTTGGCCAGAGCGTCTCTGCTTGTGCCTTCATTCCATTTCAGAGCAACTGCTTGGTTTTTCTTGGTTTGCTTTTATGGAGCAAGACAAGTGTCTCCATTCCCCTCTTTTTTTGTCTTTTTTTCCTCCCCCCCCAGCTCTCTCCAAACGGTTCCTGTTGACGGAGCCGGAGAGAAGAGCGTTGCCCTGAACCCCAACTCACAAACACATTAAATTCTTACAAACATCCTTCTCCAAAGTGTTTTGAGCCACTGTCAAACTTTCTCTTCCTGGAAAGCAAACCCTCCAGTGAGTTTTTAACACCAGAAATCCCCTGGTGCTCTCTGGAGCGGTTCTAAGGTGGGGTTGTGTTATGACACAAGGCCCCGAGGCTGCCCCAGACCCTGGCTCTTCCTTTTTAAGTTTAAAGAAAAACTGAAGACAAGTTTCAGTTTAATAATGCCCCAGTTCACCATTTTTTTCACATTCCAGTGTAAGAACCGTTGCTGAAGTAGGTTTCTTTGCAAGTTTTAACACAGGAGTAGAAACGTAGAGTCCCTTTGGGTGCAAAAAATTTGAATTTTAGTGCTGGAAGTACCCTTTAGTGTTTCATTTTTAACTTCCACCAGTTACGAGAGGCTCCACAAAATTAATTTGATATTAAAAAATGAATAACTGCAGCTTGCCAAAGGAGCTAAAAAGCTGAGTAACATCTGAAATGCCTTCAAAATGATGGCTGGAAGTTGGGGGGGGAGATGGGATGAAACACAGTACCCTTCTCCAACTGCTGAAGCAGGAGTCACACTCCCAGACAGTTAATCCAAGCAGAGGAGCTACAGAAATCTATTTGTCATCATCTTACCCTGATATTTTTGCCTGGAGGGATTGATGACACGTGTCAGGCGATGCGTTAGGGGCGGCAGCCATTCCAACACCCAGAAACCTGCTATTTCGGGGCAAAGGCCGAGCAGATAAATCACTGCGTCCACAGGAGAGATTGGCTGGTTGGGGGGGGGTTAAACAAGGGGGTTTGGGGGAATGTGCAGATCCCCTCCAAACTGGGAAGGAGATTCCTGCAAAAGGAGGGGATTAGCGTGGTGGATGATGAAACTGCAGCTCACCTGGCAGCTCGTGGGGAGCAGAAGGGAGGATGTTCTCCGCAGCCATCGCTTTTCCGTGCTCTTAGAGACAACCCGGTGCTAGCGCAGGTCTTCTGGCATAAATAAAGCTTTGGGGTTATATATTGATATTTGTCGGTTACTATGACTTCTTTTTTTTGTTTGTTTTTTTTTTCCCCCCCTTCAATTGCATCATACCCTTAAAAAAATGGTGGTAAGTGAGAGATCTGCATGCTTTGGAGTTTGTTTAATCTCCGCTTCAGTCTATACAACGCACAAGTCATAATGTTAACACTTTTTTTCTTAAAACTTCTTCATTCACGTTCACGACTAATTTGGATTTCAGTTTGCTGTTTTTAAATCTTTTTTCAGTTCGTACTTATTTTTTTTTCTGTCGTTCTGTTGCCCCCTGATTTCGCTGAGGTTTGGGTCTGTGTCTGTACTTGTACTGGGGCTGCTTTTCCAGCCGTTAGTGACTGACCAGGGTAGTGACACCCAGAGACGTTTTCCTCTGTCTTTATTTTATCTCTGTTTAGGTTATGGATGAGAAAGGGCCGAGCGGTGGTGACCCGCTGTATAATCTTAAATATTCCAATAGGCATTTTTGTTGGATCTGTTAGGAAAACATTCCATGGCAGCCTTTATAATTGTGAATCTCTTTTTTTTTTTTTTTTTTTAAACACACAAAACTACTTATCCGAAATAGGCACCTAAATATTTGAACCGAGAAAAGAAAAATGGAGATTTTAATTTATATTTTTAATAGCCAGAGCTTGTATCCTAAGGGCACAGTTTGCTATTTCTGAAGTCCAGCCAAACAAACTCTCAAAGATGTCGATGGTGCTCGTCAGAAAGCCGGGACGGCCCGGTCTGAGCGGGGCCGGGGTGGGGGGCTGGGGGCTGGTCCCCCCTCCCCAGGCCCGGCGGGCGCAGCGCAGCCTGCTCCAACCATCTTTTGTTGATGATGAACCAAAAGATGTTGGCGGAGGGGAGTTGTAGACCCTCCTGTGCTTTGTGTTTCAGCACCTGCTGTGTCTCTGTATATCTCCACTGTATATACAAACAGCACATTTGATGTCTGGTTGTCCTTTTACTAGTCCTAGTTCTCTCTGTACCTTGTCCGATAGTGTACTGTTGCTGGGAATGGACTTCTGTGGACACTGGTGTGTCGCTAGTGTGTTATTTTTTGGCTGTAAAGCTCTTGGTTTGTGGTTAGTTCTTTATTTTGTTGACCTATTATTTTTTCTGTTGTTCCGGTCACTGTCTGTGCTAGCGGTGGCTTTGCCTCTCCGTTTGCCTGGAAGGTTCCAGGTGGAGTAATGTCCCCCCTGCCCGACATTACTCCCGGCGTGTGCTCATGCGGATGCCTACACCGTTTAAGACTGTAATTTCCATAACTGCTTCATGTGCACTGAGCACCCTTGTGGAATCCTGCTGAGAGTTTCCTAAAGCCTTCCCTGAACAAAAAAAACCAAACCCCTCGAGCAGGAGGTGGGAACGGCAACTCCCGAGTGCCAAAACCGGCAGGTCCTGAATTGGTTGTGTTGTGTGTCCCCCCTCACCACCAAAATACTTCTACAGGAGCGTTCACTTTCTGCATTGGTTTTTGTGCTGCTGTTTAAATGCTCTTCCCTAAGTGCAGTTTGGGTGCAAAACAAGGTGGTTTGTAACTCCAAAACTGACGTTCAATTGGTCACGAAAGAGCTGACGCAAAACATTACTCATTGGCAGATCTTTTTCCAATTCTCAAGAGGATCTTTTTGCCCTGAGACACAGGCAGGACACTGCTGGCAGTCCTGGAGCTGAAGCCTGTGGTGCCTGGAGGTGTCACAACACCCCTCATTTCCCCTGGGGTGCTCTGGGACGCAGGCACAGCCCCTGCTGCTCTCCTGGGACCACGGCTGGGTACTCCAATCAAGTGTTGCACCTTCAGCCTCCTCCTAACCTGGTCCCTTCTAATCAAATGGGGAGAAAAAACATCATATGTAGAGGTTGGATGATCCAGGGGGGGTAAAATGAGCATATTGTGTGTATATACCCTCCTGTATATACCCGTCATTCCCCAGCAGCAGTTGAAGAATGGCTTAAAATTATATATTAAAACAAAAACAAAAAATCAATGCAAGAAAACAACCAGCAGGATTTTACAACCGAGACGTTGGTTTGTCTTCTCATCTATTTTTTATGAGATTGAACCACTGGAACTTGGGGACAAGATGAGTCTTGACCATATTTGCAACCAATCTGTCCGCTACAGTTGCAGTTCTTCATGACCAGCATTCCAAGTGTTAACTAAAACCATCGAAGCAACATACCTGCCATTAAAACCCGAATCCCGACCAGTAACTTCCATGAACCTTTGCACTTCCCGGTGGAATGGCCTTTAGTGCTGTAGATCTGGGGGGTCGCGGCTCAGCCGGGGCGGGGGGCGCGGAGCAAACACTCACCCTCTCTTTTTTTGTTGTTTTTTTTTTTCCTTTCCTTCCCTTCCCTTTCCCGGGATAGCCTTGGAATTCTGTCCGCAGATGATGAACCAGCTGGGCCAATGTAAGTGCCTTTTAAGGGGAAAAAAAAATAGAATTTGGGTTAATCTGAGAGATTATTGGAGTTTCTGTGGCATGGGGTGGATGTTACGTGTGACACCAGGAATGGGAAGGAATTTGGGGTGGTGTTGGAGCAAAGAAGGGTGATGTCTGTGGGGTCCTGGCCAGAGCAGGACAGATGGAGGGGGAAAGAAGGTGTCCAGATAAAAAGTGGGATTGATTTTTGTGCTTGGGATTGACTTTTTTGTGCGTTTTTTTTATTTCTTCTTCCAGGAAAACTAATTCTACAAACAATCATAAAGATAAAAACTTACGCCAGAGAAACACAAATTAAAAATGCTTATCATGTAAGTATGACTTGGAAAGGGTCAGCCTGAACCCTCCTTTTTTTTTTTTCTTTGCTGTAGCGGTTGGGGGACGGAAAATAAGCTTTTTCCATCAATTGGGAAGTTCCCAGCTGCTGGGAGGGTGGCACGAGCCGTTCCTGCCAGGCTTCAAAGGCAGCACCCGGGGTCACCAACAGATTTCTTTCGTAAATTAAGCAGGTAGTTTAAAGATCTGTTGAGTTCTACCTAATGGCTGCTGTTGCTAATTAAGAAACACACCCCAAACCCTCCCTCGTTGCGTTGTTAATTAGAGCTGGCCGTCGGTGGGGAGCCTCCACCTTCAGTTGAGAGGGAGGAGCGCTTGGCGGGGCGCGGGCGCTGCCGGGCATTGACTAGCACCTTTTCTCATTTCTTTTTTAGAGCTTTAAGTTTCTGAGAGACTGATGGCAATATGACCTGCTAAATTTAAGGGTTGGAACTCTTGGTTCTAGAACTCCAGTTCTGTCTGATTTATTATTTTATTATTTTATTTTTATTTTATTTTATTTTTCCTTTTCAAGTGAGCAACGATATGACTGTCTAACGCATGCCTTATTTAGCCTCTCCTGTAAGGATGACCTAGCCAGATACATTTCAATAATGCTTCAGTGTAGAAGGTGTAAACTATTTTGGGCTTGATGTGCTGTGAATGTTGCTTTTTATTATTTTCTGTTCTTTTTTTTTTTTTTCCTGGCTCTATTTAAAGATTAGAAGTAGTGAAGTCGGTTTCACGCATGCGCCATTTTTTACTTCCTGTAGCTGTTAAAAAAAAGAAAAAAAAAGGAAAAAAAGAAAAAAATTTGGCAAAGCTCTAAAGCGCACCGCTGCCATCTAGTGAGACTTTTTGTAAAGTACAGCAAAACTTAAAAATATATATACAGTTATATATTTATATTTTGGGGGAGGGGGAAAACCAAACTACAGTAATTGTGTTTCATTTTTAAGCTGCTGATATTCATTCCTTTACTGTATGTCTGAAAGATGAGAGAATTATACTGTGCTGGTACTTAGAGGAGTAATATAAATTGAAATTATCTTAAGGGCTTAACCTATAGAGAGAGAGAGAGAGACTGGGGTGTCCTATAATCAGACTTCAAAAGCTGGAATGGTTGGAGGTGGTGGTGGTGGAATGCAGTCGACAACAAAAACAAACCTTCAGTTTATAAATATATATATATGATTGCTTTTTAAGTGATTTTTTTTTTTTTTGTTAACTCATGTAAATTCTCCGATCCTTTTGCACTGATGTGTTCAACATATTCTTGTACATTCAATTCAGGCAAACTTTTATAAGTTTCTTTTTTTTTTTGTTTTGTTTTGTTTTCGTTTTGTTTTTTGTTTAAATGATGAAATGTTACAGCATGGTGATATTCTATGCAACTAGTTATACTCTTTAGTTTGACACTGTAATTTCTCATGATTTAAAGATTGTAGAAATAGACCTAACAGGGTTCTCATGATGTGCGTAACTGTAGATGCATGAACTCGTGTTCTGTGTATTTGTTGAAGTGCAATGATGTATAAAAAGTGGATTCACCTGTTTTTAAAAATAAAACACTGACCAAAAAAAAAAAAAAACCACCACCAATGCGTGAGACTATTTCAATATTCTTGAAATCAAATCTATTTAATCACACTTAAGCTTGTGGATCCCAAGTGCTGGCTGGCCTGGAGCGTGGTGAATCCCAGTGGCAACAAGTTGGGATTTCTCAACCTTGGGTGAGTTTTTTCAGTTCCTTCTCCACATCTTCCACAAAAGCTGGGAAATCCTGGTCCAGGAGGCAGAGGCGGATGAAGGGCCCCAGCTCCTGCGCCGGCCAGGCCGGGTGCCGCGACACCAGGAGGAGCTCGGGCTTATTCCTCAGCACAGACTGGGAGAAACAAAAGGAAAACAGAGGTGTTGGGATCATAGACATCAAAGGTAACATTATGTGGCTTTGGAAAAACGCAGCTACGTCAGTATTTAACAAAGAGGCAGCTGCCCCCTTGATGCTGCTAAAATACTTCCTATCACACACGATTTCGGTACGTAATTTTTCCCCCAGAGGGAGCTTCAGTTCCAACGTGGCTTCTGTGCAACTTTGAATTCCCTTTGTGATTATTTGAATCCCAAATGGCAGTTTCCTGGGTAAGGTGCTTTCCTCAGGAATATCCCTTCTGTGCAAGAGAAGAGGATCCCGTAGGAAGCGTACATAGGGACTGTAGAGCCCAGTATATGGTTCTGAGCTCTTCATTTAGCAAGGTGACTTTTAGAAGTCAATTATGGGGCTTTTTTAAGGGTTAAGTTTAATCCCAAGGTGCTTTCCTTGGGAATATCCCTTCTGTGCAGGAGAAGAGGATCCTGGAGGAAGCGTACGTTGGGACTGTAGAACCCAGTATGTGGTTCTAAGCTCTTAATTTAGCAAGGTGACTTTTAAAAGTCAATTATGGGGCTTTTTTAAGGGTTAAAACAGCTTTTCCTGCCCATTTAACCCCCTCCCCTGGCTTTTTCCCTTGGTGGTGGCTGAATTGTGGTCTGTTTGGGTGTAAAACCAGTGGCAGCAGAGGGGAGGTGGCCAAGGAGTGGTGCTGGGGTTGGGACAGCCCCAACCGTCTCCCAGCACCCAGAGGTGACACCGCTCCCGTCCGTAGCCACGCAGGAGAAACCCACCAGTCTCATGGACCAGTAAGTTATTGGGCTAAAACTACTGGGCCACATCAGTCAGTCACCTTGGGGAACTGCTCAGTGAGAACATTATTCACACTTTGTGTTAAAAACCAAGTGTTTGCACCAATGTTTTTCCACCTTTCTATAGACCTCACCGCCCTCCCGGCCTGTAACTCTCTCTACCCACTGCACTGGAGTCATTAAAGCTGCCACATCCATTATGGGTGGGTTTTGGGTACTTTGCAGGGGAGGGAAGCAAATCAAATCGATGAGGTGGGTATGATGCACAGAGGGTCCCAGGTGAAGGGTGGTGTCGCTGGTTAGTCTGTGTCTGCCTTTAAAAAAAGCTGAAAATGCCTGGTTTGGGCTCTTTTTCTGACGTGCTGGTGGGAGAGGCACAGGCTAAACCAAGCCTCTCCCTCTGGGAAAGGCAGGATTTGCTGCTGGGGCCTGACTGAGCCTAACTTCTGCTGCTTGGACCTGAAATGGGGCAAGAGAACTGGCAGCTGGAGCAGAGCACAGTTTTACTTGTGAGGAGGAAAAGAAAAACCACCCCAAATATTTTTTCACTAATCTTATTGTTGGTTCACCTTGCTCTGTTCCTGGGTCATGCCGTAGCCTTGACTGGAGAAAAATACGTTTAAACAGTGTTGCTCTGTTCCTGGGTCACGCCATAGCCTTGACTGGAGAAAAATACGTTTAAACACAAATGGAAGACTGTTGAATATGTGTTTTAAAAAAAAATCTGCAAGACAATACTGAAAAGCAGCACTGCAGCCAGCTTCTTGAAGGGTTGGAAATGGAGAAATTGAAGTCCAGAGCGGGGCAGAGAAAGGGGGATCTCAGAGATTTCAGGTTTTTGAAGCTGAAGGGGGGGGAAAGCAAGTTGTACAGCAAGTCTGTGGGGCAGGGCATGGAGAGCCCAGCTCCGAGCGTGGTTGTGTTGAACTGACCAAGTAGGGAGGGATGTAGGAAACTACTACACCCAGGAGTCCTTTTGTGCTGGGAATTAGTAATTCAAGCAAGAGATGGATCAAACAGGGGCCTCGCCAGCAGAAAGCTTTGTTCAGAAGCAGGTATCACGCCCTCACCTTGTGCAGGGCCCCAGAAATAGCAGGTTTTAGAAGATAAGTCCTTCTTTTATAGTGTTAGCTTACATTGCCTTGTAAAGCAGAGATTGGTCACGAAAAACACAGTTGCTAAAGGCAAAGTGCTTTGTTTGATCCCTCTGGCTGCCTTGTAAAGGAGGGTAACAAACCCCTGTGGGACGAAGAGCAGGGTGTGTAACAGCCCTGGCCACAGAAAGGGGGGTACGGGGAGCTCTGCTGTCAAAACAGGGGTGTTGAAGGGGCTTTTGGGTTTAAGAGATGACAGATCTGTAATAGGAATTGTGCCTGATGCCACAGAGGTGAAAAAACATGGATTTCATCCTTCTGTCGGTACAGAAAGTGGGTGAGACAGACCCACTGGGGAACCCTCAGAAGCAACTGCACAAAAACAAGGGGTTGGAAAGGGGAGAGTTTTTACCTCCGTCATCTGGTTCTGGTCGGCCCCAAATTCACAGGAAAGAGGCAACAATCTGCCGGTTACTTTTAACTACAGCTTTACCCTGCACTTCCCAGTTCAACTGTGGGTTGAAAGTCATTTCTGCAGGGTGCCAAAGCTGCTTATTTGGATGAGACCTCTGGGTATGTGTGTGCTGTCAGCGTGTGGGTTGTTCTTATGCAAATGGAGTAATTGCACCATGAAATACCTGGTTTTGCCACTTACTTCCCAGCTCATTAAGCAAGATCCTGTGGTGGTGGTGGTATAAATGAGGATCCTGATGTTCAGAGAAGCCATTTCCCAGATGTTTACCACACATGAGAGAGCTTCCTCTCTCTCTGCACCAGAGAGATTCAGGTACAGGAGCTAAATATTGGATTTTATTTAATTTTTTTACCTGTGCTAGCTGTGTTACAGATCTTCTCTCTCCAAGGCTTGTGCAGGAATCTGGTAGAGGCTCATCTGGCTAGAAAATAGCAAATGCAAATAAGGGCCTGTTACCAAGCAGCGTGTGGGCATGTGCGAGAAGGGAAGGAGTTCCATTTTTAGAGAGAAGGGGAAGGGAATGTGCTCAGCCACCTCAGGCAGGGAAAAGGCATCTTTTTATGGAACCTGAATGCACATCTGCTCAAGCCTTTAAAAGTGAACGACAGGAAATAATGGGCCTGTAGTTAAACTGTCATGTCTAAACTAAGAGAACTTTTAAACTACTTGCTAGAAGTAACTTTAAAAAATGCTGTGTGTGAACGCTCAGCAGGAGCAGGCTTTTTTTTCCTTCCCGTGGGCCACAGCACCAAAAAGGTGTCAATTCTTTTTTTCTGAGCAAGGTTTTCAGTCTTAACTTCTGGAGCAAGAGTGTTATCAACACCAAGAGTCTGAGTGTTGGTGTTCAGCAGCGTTTCACCGTTAAACAGCTCTCCGTGCGTTCTCAGCTTTTGGGGAATGAGCAAAGCCCAAAGGAGAGGTGACCTGCTGAAAGGACACACAATACATCTCGAGTATCAGCTGCTGGAGGCCTCCCAGATGCCTTTATGGAAACTGTGTGAGTCAAATTGGTGATATTTTTTCCCTCCCCCCACGCTTTCTCTACCAAACACTATTCCACTGCCCAGTAGAGTAGGACTTCCCTAGTCCTGTCAGGGAGATGATGGAGCCGAAGCTCTGACAATCTTTTTTTTTAGGCCTCAGTCTTGGTCCTGATATTTTTATTACATTACCTTCGTACTGTCCTGGCTAAGGAACAGAATGACAGAATGCTAGGGGGTTGGAAGGGACCTCTGGAGACCATGTCCTCCAACCCCCTGCCAGAGCAGGTCCACCCTGAGCAGGTCCCACAGGAACGTGTCCAGGTGGGGTTTGAATGTCTCCAGAGAAGGAGACTCCACCACCTCCCTGGGCAGCCTCTTCCAGGGCTCTGCCACCCTCACAGGAAAGAAGTTCCTCATGTTTAGGTGGAAGTTCTGATGTTCAAGTTTGTGCCCATTTCCTCTTGTCCTGTCCCTGGGCACCACTGAAAAAAGCCTGGACCCATCCTCCTGACACCCACCTTTGAAGTATTTATAGGTGTTGATCAGCTCCCCCCTCAGCCTTCTCTTCTCCAGACTAAAAAGCCCCAAGTCCCTCAGCCTTTCCTTGTAAGAGAGATGCTCCAGCCCCCTCATCATCTCTGTAGCCTCTGCTGTCCCCTCTCCAGCAGTTCCCTGTCCTGGAACTGGGGAGCCCAGAGTTAGCTGCAGGGGTGTTTTCAGAGCTGGTAAATGTGATCCTCTGGATAACCAAGACAGCACATATTTAAGAATTAATCACCCTCAGAAACAGTCTGTCTCTGCCTTTTCCTTTTACCTTAGGTCTTTGTCTTGGAGAGGGGAAACATTCTGTTCCTACCCTGAAATCACTCTTAAATGTGTCAGGTTAAGCTCAAATGGCTACAACTGCATATTTACAATTATTAACACTGCAAAACAGGAGCAGGGAGTAAACACAAGAAGGAGCACACAATTCATGGTTCTTAAAAGATGCTTTTATCATTTTTCTTTCCTCGTGTAATTGATGTGAAAGTCTGCCAGGTGCTTCCCAGCAGCCTTAGCTGAAATCCACCCTGATGGAACTGCAGACGTGGGTTTTGGATAAATATTGAGCCCTGAGCCTCTGCCCCTATTCTTCTTTATTAACCTCAGCAGAAAGCATCACAGTCTTCCATTTTTGAGCCCCGTTCCGTTAACTTTTTTTGAGGTAGGCTAAGAAAAGGGGAGGCTTCAGCAGCTGAGTAACTCTGCCCTGGTCACTAATGAGGTTCCCCTGCACGTAGAGTGAATTTTGGGGTTCATAGTTACAAGCAACTTCCTTCAGAAGTAAAATTTCTCATTTACAGTTGATGACTTTTCTATTTTTCTCCCCCTATGTTCTTACTTACTGTACATAGTAGCGATGTGTTTTGTTGACTGCTTTCCACCCACCTGAGTTTGGCTGTTGGGTGGCTGAAGGAGACTGGGGTAGAGCTTCTGGCTTTGTTCATCTGTTACTTCAACCGGGAGGTACTCGGCGAGTTTCTGCGCGCAGCGGCAGCAGTGATCCAGCATCTGGGCTTTGGAGTCCCCACCAAACTGCACGCGGAACATGCGGCATTCATTCTGCTCAGAGACCAAAGAGAAATTCAATTAACTGCGAATCCCCTCCAACTATTTTAATTAAATTCCTCTTTGTTACAGTTAGCGAGAAGGTGATTAATTTTTGGATCGCTGCACCAACTTAAATATAAAGAAACAAGTTTTCCCTGCTGTACCTTCGTTTATCCCAGCAGCTAAACCACAAGAGCATGATTCCCAGTTTGAAAATCCGTTTAAAAAGCCCGAGGAAATGGTAAGTGAAACGGGGCCACCTGTGAATGAACTAAAGGTGCAGCCAAGTGAACAAGCTGCTGGAGACAAGCTCTGAAGAAAAGGATCTGGGGGTCCTGGTGGACAACAAAATGACAATGAGCAAACAGTGTGCTCTTGTGGCCAAGAGGCCAATGGAATCCTGGGCTGCAGAGGGAAGAGTGTGGCCAGCAGGTCAAGGGAGGTCATTCTGCCCCTCTGCTCTGCACTGGGGAGGCCACAACTGGAATCCTGTGTCCAGTTCTGGGCTCCCCAGTTCAAGAGAGACAGGGAACTGCTGGAAGGAGTCCAGTGTAGGGCTACAAAGATGATTCAAGGATTGGAGCATCTCCCTTATGAGGAGAGACTGAGAGAGCTGGGACTCTTTAGTCTGGAGAAGAGAAGGCTGAGGGGAGACCTTATTAATGCTGACAAGTATCTCAAGGGCGGGATGAGGGAGGAGGGAGCCAGACTCTTTCCAGTGGTTCCCAGTAACAGGACAAGAGGCAACGGGCACAAGCTGGAACATAAAGGGTTCCACTTGAATATGAGGAAGAAATTTTTCATGGTGAGGGTGACGGAGCCCTGGAACAGGCTGCCCAGGGAGGGTGTGGAGTCCCCTTTGGAGATTTTCAAGACCCACCTGGATGCTCCTGAGTAACACGCTCTGACAAGCTCTGGGTGGTCCTGCTTTAGCAGGGGGGTTGGACTAGATGATCTCTATGGTCCCTTCCAACTCTAAAAATTCAGTGAAATTCAGTGAAACCTTCTGCCGGCGACAGGGTTTTTACAGGGATAGGAGGGAAATTCAGTTCTGGTCTATAAGGATGTGCCGACTCTGAGTGCTTACTTGTGACAAAAAAAAAAATGAAACGGCGCTAACTGAAGTGTAAGTCAACTCTGGAACCTAAACTAAAAACTTCTGGGAACTGTTATGTTCCATTTAGGATTTATGTTACTGTCTGCATCAAGCCCAGCCTTACCCACCCACTGCCCTGCCCGTGGTAGCTACACCTGCAGATTCAGCTTGGCCCTCACACAGAACACAGCTGTGCCTTGGAGAGATGCTGAGACACCTTGACTAGGAGTGCAAGAAACTCAAATACATCACTCCAAATAGGGAAATAATACTAAAAATAAAATAAGAAAATGCAGGCAGAACTGACCCCCAGTACAGGTTGTTGGGCTGTACTATATTAGATATTTTTTTAAGTAGATGAGGTGCAGCAAAGCACCCTGGAAAGGTGGGGCTGGAGAGCCTGTTGTGTGTGATAAGCTTCTCCTGAGCACGTTCAGCTGATGTAAGGCAGATACCTACAGAATGCTCTTGTTCAGGAAGTGAATTACAGGGACTTCCACTTTGATCTTGAAATTTTGAATTTAAAGCAAAGGTAAAATACTAGAAAAGAAGCAAGTTTTCCTTGGCCCAGCCCAGATTATTTGAGTCTTCATCTTCCCAAGATTTCAATGTCAAAATAAGTTTTTTTTTTAATGACTAGACATGCTGCTAGAGTGCTGATTACACCAAGGCCAGGACACCCTTCACTTTAACAATCTTTGTCTCAAAGATGAGGCAGCTCTTGATGACAGCCTGTATGTTTACATGCATGTTATTTTAAGATGCTTCTATTACAGAAAATGATTTTTAGGACACCGTAAGCATAAAAGCTTGTCTCAGTGCCTTTTAAATGGAAAAAAATGTCAAAATAATTCAAAGTGTAGCACTCATTTTACCAGTGCCCAGTTACAGTGCCTCTAGTTAACTAAGATGTCAACTTAACTGGGTCGGCTTCATACAACCGAGAAGTGATTTGTGGATTTTGGATTTGCCAGACAGGTGAGTTCTCATTAAAATGACAGAAAGGTAACTTGCATCTTCATTCGAATTCCTTTTAGAGACTTTCAAAGAAAACTTGTTTCAGTTATCACTACAGTCCATTTGAGTTGCCCTCTGCTTTTTCATAAGGAATGTTAAATACTTAAGGCTGCGGTTTATAAACAATGATAGACTTGGTAAATTAAACATTTTTCCGTTACGGAAAGAGTGAGAGTACTTAAATTCAGCTAAACTGATGTCAAGTTTTAGCATAAACTGAGTACTGGGCAACAATCAGCTGAAGAACACAAGAGGCCAAGGGTGGATGGGGCTTGGAGCAACCTGGTCTGGTGAAAGGTGTCCCTGCCCAGGGCAGGGGGATTGGAATTTGATGATCTTTAAGGTCCCTTCCAACTCTAACCATTCTGTGATTCTAAGAGCTGAGTATTAAAGAACCTTGAGGTCACCTGGATCATCAAATCTGTGCCTCTTCCCATGCCGGGGGTAGCCAAGTATTAAAGAACCTTGAGGTCACCTGGATCATCAAATCTGTGCCTCTTCCCATGCCGGGGGCGCGAGCTCAATGAAAACAGTAAAAATATTCAGATTAGATCTCAGGAAGAAATTTTTTACTCTGAGGGTGGTGAGACACTGGAACAGGTTGCCCAGAAAAGCTGTGGCTGCCCCATCCCTGGAGGGGTTCAAGGCCAGGCTGGATGGGGCCTTGAGCAACCTGGTCTGGTGGGAGGTGTCCCTGCCCAGGGCAGGGGGGTTGGAACTCGATGGTCTTTGAGGTCCCTTCCAACCCAAACCATTCTGTGATTCTAAGAAGGGAAATCACGTACTACAAGAGTACTAAGAACGTTCGTCTTGCTCCTGCTGACAGATTGTTTCATGTAAAGAAGTTTTTGGAAATCACATACTACAAGAGTATTAAGAACGTTCGTCTTGCTCCTTCTGACAGATTGTTTCATGTAAAGAAGTTTTTCTGCATAGAGGCACATCAAAGACTGCCGTGAGACAGGTGATTACTACAGATGGAGCTGTGTAAGGGGCAGGCACAGCCAGGCAGCGCTGCTTGCAGCTGAGTGTGAGACACACGTGTGTGTCTGAGGGGTAGGGCTGCAGAATGAGACATCTGGAATGAAACTGCCACTAGTACAGCCCAGCTTCACCAGTCTGTGACAGGGATCTTCTCTGCATGTCTTCTTCCTTCAAGTACATTAACATTAAGCTTCTCAAAATACACTTTAGAAACTCACTCTACCACCTGAAAATTCACAATGCCCTATTAAAGTAGTATTTATTAAGAAATTACTAAGTTTTGCTATAAGTTAATGCCTTACAAAAAGCCATCAGTTAATATTCACTCAGTTTCTCCTGAAGTACGGGATCCCAATTATTAACCTCACGTTTTCTTTGACATGGATTATTCTGTAATTGCAAAGCAGGCAACACACAGCGAAAAAAGCAAGCGCAGGAAAGAAAAGAACTGAAAGGAGAATGAAATAAACAGAAGGAGTACAAGGTAAAGCAGAAAGGATAGTGTAATATTTAGTTGTGCGTGCCCCTTAGCAGCCCTGTGGTCTCAGATACAGGAACTGGGTTTTGAAAACCTGGCCTGCTTCTGCTTAGATGGCTTCTTCAGTGACAACCCACATCTTGTAAGAATCTGACAAAAATCAGAGAGCAAAAGTGTTTTGGTTTCAGGCAAGCATAACCCATTTGTTTAAAGCAGCTCAAGTCACTCGTGCAGCTCCTAGTGCCACCATTAGACCAGACTTATTCTGAAACAAGAGAACTCCTTATATTTAAATGATTGATTACGCCTCACATCTGCTTTTATCTTGCAATTAGCACGGCATTCTCTCCTCTGCAAACCAGATTGTTTGGTTTACAACATCCTTATAAAGAAACATCTACGCGTCTTCCAGAAAGGAAATCAGCTAAAAGATGAAAATCTGACTAAAGAGGAATTTTTACAGTTTTCAGCTATTCTGGATATCGCTATTATCTGCAATTACAATAACCCCACCTGTCCCAGAGATCCTGTCAGAGGAGAATGCCTGAACAGCTCACAAAACTTGAGAGATGTTTTCATAACTTAGTTCTGTGAATGGTGCCAAGAGTTAAACCGGTCTCTGAACTAGCAGCTACTGAACATGGGGCTTATCTTTTCCCAGAATTCCTCTTTTTAATTTAGAGAGGAATTGTCTTGTTAAGCAGAGACAGTTAAAGTAGAGGCAGCTGTTTCTGCTGAAACAACAAAGCCTAGAAAGTGTCAGGGGAGAAGGGAGAGGGCTTATTTTGAAACAGGCTTTGTTTCTGAAAAACCTGGTGAACATTCAGTGTAGATGAGTAAGACACTTCTCAGAGTTCATCTAAGAGCCAAAAAAATTGAGATTTATACCGAAGTGGTAAGAAACAAGTGTCATTTAATTCTTTAAAGGCTAACCAACCACTTTTTCCTGAGAGCTGAGCAGGAGGCCAGAAACCTGGGGCCCTTTCATTGCCTGGAGTACCAAATGCCTGAAGCGCCAGCCTGTCGCTGCTGTGCCAGGTGTCGGGGGCCTCAAAATGGCTAAATAATTGTTTGCTTAGATATTTGTTTCCCAAGTGAAGTATGACTCATTGGTAGCTTCCCTACACGTAGGACAATCGCTTCATCTATTTAATTGTTAGCCACAGCAGATAGATTCTAAAATAAATAGTGGTCCAGCCGTTTTAGTAGCTACCTCTCCAAAAGCAGTCTGAAAGAGCTGAATATTAACAGTTAGAAAAGACATCAGGTGAGTCAATCCATTCTTGTTTTATATCTAGAGTGAAAAAGAATCTGTTTAATTTATATAGACAATTTATAGTATCTCATAAAATCTAGTTTAATTTATCCAATACTAAGAAGTCTTATAAAGAACTGTTTTAGCTACTAGAAACGTTAAAAGCAACTTGGTTTACCTTTGACTGCGCACGAAGCAGGAGGCAGTCTGCTCTTCTTACTATCTTTAACCACTTGTGGGAATCAATTAATGAAAAGCCTTCCTGAAATAAAGCAGAACAGGAATTAAATCTGAATCTGTAGCTCTGGTGACAACACTATGGCAAGGTACATCTGAATTTCTGCATATATTTTACATTTCTATCTGTGTGTGTTATGAAAGTCTCCATGAAATGCTTAACAACCCAGCTGCAACAGAGAGCTTCAAATTCTTCCCCATCCCCTGAAGTTGCCCGAGAGGGCAGCAGGACCAGCTGTGACAGAGAGTTTTAAATTCTTCCACATCCCCTGAAGTTGCCCGAGAGGGCAGCAGAGGGCAGGCAAACCTGAAGAATGGGACCAGAGAGGCATCTTCTCCAGATGGAACTCGGGTAAACAAGCAGCAGCTTTGATACCTCCATAAAGATGTTTTTATACTCCAGTCGTGTTAACTGTCAGTCTCTTCAAACAAGACAGACTGCTCAGCATTCTGTGAAAACACCCCAGGAAACTGAAGACACCACATAAAAATTGCAAGGCAATGGACTGTGTCTCCCAAGGTACTTCCCCCAGGCTGCCACAGAGTCATTAGTAGCGAAGTCAGGGTGGGAACCCAAACAAATTGAAGGGTAGGTAAGAAATTACCAACCTGTTTTATCTGAACTCCTAATGCTTTCAATGACCGTGGCTTTTTGCATAGGCTGCTTTTCACAGATGTCCTAAGGGTCGAGAACCACAAGTCAAGTCCATCCCAGGCCACCAGCAGTGTGTTTTTTCCAGAGTTATTATCCATCTTACGCAGGTCCAGGCTGGGAAACCATCTGCCATCCTATTTTGGTACAGGTCACCTCGGTAAGACACTGCTCTCTCAGCGTGCAGGCACTCAAAAATCTACACACAGTTGCTGTGTGTAAAGGCAGTAACTGAACTTTTAGGAGAGGGATGTCTAGAAAGCACTGAGGAGTTGAAGCAAAGGCAAAGCGGACAACAGACACACAGCTGACGAGACACCTGCCAGGACAGACTGCAGAGTGTCAGACAGACATCATTCCCAAAAGGTCTGGGGTCAGAGGGAGAGAAGGATTTCCCTCTGCGCTGTAGAAACAGGAGCTGATGGCTGGTAGGACAGGACAATCACTCACAGTGTGTCTGTCTGCTCTGAGCGCTCCCAAAACATCTCCAGGTAGGACTTGCCAAGCTGTGAAAGGCCCCACTTTGTGACCAACAGGAAGCACCAAGTTATCCTCTGCTCTTACAGGAATTAGTCAAGGAATCTGGATCCTACGAGGGACAAACTGCAAATGATGGACCTTGCAACAGAAATGGCATCTTTCTTGGCAAGTCAATGTTCTCCAGTCATTACATGATGCAATTATATAGAGAGGCTAAAAAAGTTTTAGCCTTTATACAGAGAGGGTAAAAGTTTGGTATGTGGACATTAAAGTCTTGGAAGAAGAAAAAGGGGGGGAAGAGAAGATACTAAGCAGAATGCCTGAGGAATGAGACGAGATTATTATTTTAAGAAAATAAGGCAGCACTGTTAGAACATTTCTAGACTAATGAGTATTGCCTCACATGTCATAATTCCAATTGCACGGCAGACTATACCCCTGAAATTTGGCTCCAGACATCCACAGCTGTGCAGAGTTTGGCCCCACACTATTGTTTAGTGCTGAAAATAGAAAAACATCAGCAAGTCAGGCTGGTGATTGTGCGCACCAGGAAGTTATGTCGAAAGTCAAGAAATTTCAGTCATGCCAACAGCCTGGGGATAGCGAGCAGCATCTGTGCCAGCAAAACATCAGCATTAATTGTGCATGTGCGTTGCAAAGAGGTCTGAGAACATGGCTGTACAAAACACAAAAATGCAGGTTTGTGTACATGAGAAGTACTTTAGAGGAGATGTGGAATGAGATCCATCTCTGCTGCCACGGCTGCTGGAAGGAAGGGAGCAAGAAAACCAGGATGGAAGTTAGAGGAGTGAGGTACAGCTGACTACACTCCTCCAGGGGAACAAGTGGCTGCAGAAAACACACAGAAGAGTTTAAACAGGACAGGGGACAGGCTCTCAAGTCAGAACAGAAAGATGGGCTACGTAGAACTGGAATATATAAAGCAGGAGAAGTATTTTATACTGTCCCTTCCAGAAAGGGTGTGTTCTTGGTGTTTATACAAATAATCTGAAAGTAAACGTTCTCACTGTTTGGAATGGAAATACACACAAACTAACAGAAGGTGAATTTCATCTCAGCACAATGACACCTCTCTCTCATTTAAAGCTGCATATGTTGAACATCTTTTAATATACCTATATGCTTAGTGCTTCTCTGATGCCACTACCATGCCCCAAAATGCTGTTAGTGAAGCAACCCTAAACATCTCATTCTTCCACTGGGGCCGCTTTAACTTGCGGCCACTTGTACTTAACTCTGTTGGTTTCAAACAGTTACTGGTTTTGATACACACCAACTGTGTTTATTTAAATATAGCTGTTCCCATATTAAGTCTATTTTTATAGTGTTTTTCCTTTCACTGTAAGATGGGGGTTGAACAAATGTTGTCTCCTTAAAATAATAACTGTTTTCAAAGAAATCATAAAAGGCAGCCAATGTTTAACTTTCCTACCAACTACTTTATTCACGTTTCCAAGGTTGTCATCCTTTGTCCTGTTTCTGAGGTAAAGCAAGCTGGAAAAAAACAGCATTTGGAATTTTTATTTATGTACTCCTAATTATTCAACTCCAACCCCAAAATTTGATTAAATGAAATTTAATTTACTTCAAGTGTAATTAACTGAAGAACCACGCAGAAAGTATTTCCTTTCTTCTTGCACCTTTGGTTGATTGTATATTACCAAGCAGAAACAAATAACTAAGAATAGCTAAACCTAATAGAAAAACTCAGTGCAGGACTTGAGCAATAGAAAAGAGCCCCAATTTGGCACAAACAAGCTACCTGAAAATGGAGAGGGAATGTTTTAGACAAACTCTGGTCTGTAGAACCCTATTCTGTTTACATTAGTAATTGTCATTACAGTCAGGATCCTCTAGATATTCCTCAGTTCTAAGCAGCAAATAAGCCTGATTTTGTACCATGTTAAGGTGTATTCTGTTCCTCATGACTTTTCCATGGTGCCTCAGTCAGCAGAGGTTGTATTTGAGGCGGCCTGAATTAAGACAAAAGAAAATTCTTCATAATGATGACAATCAACAGTTAAATAGTTATGAATCTGCATATGAAGTCAGGCAAAAGAATTCGGAGCAACAAGGAGGACAACCACAATAAATCTGTCCCTTGTTCCATCGCTCGAAGTCGAGAGGATCTCATCCAGGAGCTAGGTGTGGGACAGACCCTGGAACCTGCATGGCAATATATCCTGGAATGCATATATGGCATATATCCTGGAATATATGGCAATATATTGAGATTGCAATCCATTTGTGCCTTTCTCAAGATAAAGAATTGGCTCTAAATCTGCTCTGGACAGATTCACTGACAAAGAAGTAGAAGTCCCTCCTGATTGCTGCTGCTGCTGCCACGCTGACAGAAATGGAGAACAAAGCAGCCGTGGTTGCTGCTGCCCTTAAGCAGGCACCATGCATAGGTGCTTTACATTCAGAGCTGGGCATTGCTGAGCAGCGCTGGGCATGAGCAGAGACAGATGGCAGTGTGAGATTAATCAGGAATATAGACAAAAAGGCAACCTAGAAGTGGGCAGGAACATAAGACCTCAAATGTTTACAATCTGAAGAGAGAAATGGCAGCGCTTTTCTAAGTACGGTCATTAGCGTTCAATCACGCATATTCTCCTTCTGTCATTCTCCAGGATCATATCTGTAACAAAAACTATTAAAGGACTACAGTTTCATACATCTCTGACAAATATCTAAGTTTCTCAGAGGGAGGACCCTGAGAGGAATTAAGCTGAAGGAAAAAACAAAGCAAGACATTTCCCAAATATTTTGGAAGCAGGCAAAATGCGACCACACCTTGTATGAGGCCAACGCTGGTCCAGCCTTACAGCCATCTAGTCTGTCATTAACTGGGAAATACTTTTGTTCTGATTTTACATCTCAGCATTCAAAAAGCTGCTGGATAACGAGGCCTGTGATCTATGCTGGAAGGTATTGCGTGTTATTTATGAATATTTTTATGATTATATCATTTAGAAACCCTGTGCTGCTAAGCAACATATGAACACAGGAACAGATTATCCCTTTTATGTTAGATTGCAAGGCCTTTAGGTAACCCTATCCTAACTAAAATTAATATATATATTAAAGAAATGTTATTTGTGTAACAGTTCAGCTATGCTGGCTTGCATCAATCAGTTTGGATTCACTCATTCATGAGACAGATGTTTTGAAATGAAACTGAACTATGTGTAAACAATACCTTCGGAAGAAAAACTGTCTTTTTGCCACAAACATTATATACTTTGCCATATACAACCAATATTAAAAAAAAAGACAACCCCAGAATGCCACACACACTCCAGTTTTGGCTGCCACTTACAACAGGCTCATGAAATGCAAATAGAAGAGTCTTCTCAGAGTTCACAGTTGAGGAGGAATGTACACTTGTACTTAACTCTGTTGGTTTCAAACAGTTACTGGTTTTGATGACACACACCAACTGTGTTTATTTAAATATAGCTGTTCCCATATTAAGTCTATTTTTATAGTGTTTTTCCTTTCACTGTAAGATGGGGGTTGAACAAATGTTGTCTCCTTAAAATAATAACTGTTTTCAAAGAAATCATAAAAGGCAGCCAATGTTTAACTTTCCTACCAACTACTTTATTCACGTTTCCAAGGTTGTCATCTTTTGTCCTGTTTCTGAGGTAAAGCAAGCTGGAAAAAAACAGCATTTGGAATTTTTATTTATGTACTCCTAATTATTCAACTCCAACCCCAAAATTTGATTAAATGAAATTTAATTTACTTCAAGTGTAATTAACTGAAGAACCACGCAGAAAGTATTTCCTTTCTTCTTGCACCTTTGGTTGATTGTATATTACCAAGCAGAAACAAATAACTAAGAATAGCTAAACCTAATAGAAAAA